GGTCTCAGAAGACTTCACTTTCGCTGTAGCTGGTCTACATCTGCACTCATAATTTTAGGCCTAGATTTTTGATAGTTTTTTTTCTTAGTAATGCTTAATTTTCCTATTCGCCACTTTTAAATTATTCACAACTGTAAATAGTTTATCTATCGTGGACATATATTTAGTTTTTAATTTAAAAATATAGTTTAAAATTGTAAATATTACTCATTGTTCTGATACTTAAATAAAAATTGTTGAATGATAACGATGACGATAACGATAATAATAGTAATAATAATAATGATGATGATAACGATAACCAAAATAATAATGATAATAACAATGATGATAATAATAACGATAACGATAACGATAATAATAATGATAATAATAATAATGATGATGATAATGATTACGATAACGATAACGATAATAATAATGGTGATGATGATGATAATGATAATGATAAAGATAACGATAATAATAATGATGATGATAATGATACATACATAAACCACAAAGGATTGCAAAGGACCGCAAACGAATATGCCGAAGAACATAGGATCTACAAAGACCTGATCAGCAAAAATGAAAAGTAGACATATTAAATTCTGCAAGAAGAATACTGCAATGCTGATTGTACTACGTGAAAATTAAGTTTGCAAGACATCAACACGACACCGAAAGAACTCAAAGCAGAGCGGAATTTAATATCATAATGATAACGATAACGATAGAACGACAACGATAATAATAATTAGTATATACACACTCAGTGATCTTGGTTATTTCAGCAATCTGATTGGTTCGCTATCTCGGACTATTCAACAATATTCACCTCCTAGCGGGTGGATAATGTGTGAGCTCGGTGTATTTCCCATTTTTTTAGAGGACGATCTTTTAAAAGTCGAAAAAATCCTAGGGCTGACTTTTTTTAAGGCAAGAAAAGACTTGGAAGGATTCAATACGGCGTTTTTCAATTTACTGTAGCTGAGTTTTGTGCTCGATGGATTTTTTACAACTCCCGTGTATGCGCGTAGAAGAAGCCGTTTCGTGAAAGGAGCGGTTTGTACCGAGAAAATTTGGGCTCAAAAATCGAAGTTTATTTATGACAAACAAATTTAAAAGGAAATGTTTGTAGAAATTCTACGTTTCAAGTAAACAGGAAAAAGAATGATACAGGAAGACGACGTCTAACCTCGAGCAACCGAGCCGCCATTTTTGCCAGCACTTCATGCGAAGAACGACACAACAAGCCCTTTTGGCTAGAAACGTGGCGAGTCAACAGAAAACAACAAAGCTCTACTTTTCTGCTCAGGTAAGGAAACAGTTGAAACTTTCAGCGGTTCCTTTAAAGCCATTACGCTGTTGTTTGCGAAATAATAAACTTGTGAATTGCCATGTTTGAAAATTCTGCAAAGATCTATTTTTAAACTTACGCGTGATTTGATCTGTCAATCAAATCGTACTTTTTAATGGTTTCCTCTCTGATTTTGTTGAGATCACTTCGTGTGTATATACTAAAACAATTATTCTTTTCAATCTCGGTGAATAGTGGCTTTGGGAATATTTACCTCGCCGCTTTCAAAGAATAGTTGTTAATGATAATAATAACGATGATGATAATGATAACGATAACGATAGAACGATAATGATAACGATGATAATAATGGTAATGACAATGATAATGACAATGATAATGATAATGATAAACATTTACAATTCATGATTAGTATACAATATACTATAAACCTGGCCCCTCAAGTAGAACTCCCCTTTGCTTATGCACTTCCACGTGCGCCAGTAGAACGAAATGTGGTACTTTAGAACATAACAACTCACTTCTGCAGTTGTATAAAGCATTGATTTCGACTGCGTCTCTGGTACTTAGAAGGTTATTCGGAGTTCCAAATTCAACATTCTCGGCGTTTCCAATGGCTACAATGGTGGGTTTGCCTTTTTTGGTGAATGCCAGTCTATCATAATGCATGACGGACTGATTATCGTAGGAACCGCCCAAATTATCAAGAGTCCTCCACGAATATTTGTCAAACTGGTCTTTATTCTCTAAAATAAAACAAAGTTAGGTAGGTAAGGTAGGTGGAGTAGGTAAATAGGTAACACACTTGGCTTAACGTATTTTTTGTAATGACTAACAATTGGAAAGTAACTGAGACCCCAGGAACGGTGAAAGATGCCAAAAAATGTAATTTCTGACGTTTGAAAAACATGGGAACGAATTGGACAGAAATAAATAGAAATTCTGACGGCACGGTTAAGGGGCGCGCGGGATTCCTTTTCTCGTGTTAGTGAAGTCAGAATAGAACGCTTCTAAAGATATCTCGTAGATTTCAAAGTACTAGTTAAATCAAACCAATATTTTCAATTAATAATTGAGTAAAAAGTCGTGTCGTCGAAAATAAATAGACCTTTTTAGCTTTCAGTTTGCAACAATAGTTTGCCGTCTTTCGCTGATGGCCGGCTAACACAACATAAGTATGATTTACTACTGTATGCAATATCTTACTAGGCAGAATGTTCTCCCAATAGATCTTGACATATATTATCTCGATCGCTTCTTGATTGCTCGTGGAAGAAACTTGAAGCAAATATGAAAGATGCTATATACAACTGGGTCTAAATTACCACTGGCGGATCCAGGGGAGTGGCCCGGGGGGCTCGGCTCCCCCCTTATTTTTAGACCAAATTGAGGCGCGAAGGGCCGAAAAATTCTGGATCCGGCACTGATTAGTACCTGTATTTACTGGCATGGCTACTTACAGGACCAGGACCCCCGAACAGGACTTTACTAAAACGAGGAACGAAGAACGGGAACGAACCCGGGAAGCAAGGGAACAAAAGGTTATTAAACCCTACCCCTGTCAGTATCTTCATTGCCTATTCTCCCTTTTTTCATTTTGTAGTTCCCGTGCGCGCTACCCTTTCTCTCTTTAGTAATACCGTCGTAGACGGCCATGAATCGTTCACATTACACAATTTGATTCACCTACGTTAAGGTGGCTGAACAAAGTTTTGCGGGCAGTCAGTAGTAACTTGCGTAACGGCGCGTGTTTTAAATTAAACAAACAAACACGGCGGCGAAAAAAAGCATTGGTACGCAGAACACGGTTTCTCAAAAATCTACTCATTAAAATTTTGTGAAATTTGGCGGAATTTTGACTTTTATCGTATTTAATTAATGAGAACTTTAAAATGGAAGTCGAACAGAAGAATTTTGTGATACGTTTAGTTATTACGATACAATTATATTATTGATTATCTAAAAACCCGTCTGTTAAATTTTGGTCAAATCACTTTCAAATGGTAACGATTACTTACAGTAAGCTGCCTGCAAGTTTATAGGAAAATCTAATGAGCGAATTTTATGTAAACTGAGCGAAAGTGAAATTTTAAGGTTGTGTTCAATCGTTCCTGTTGCCATGGAAACAACAAAACGTCACATTTTACCTGTCGATCAAAATCTTTCATCGGTATATTTTTCACCTGCCAAGTTTCAGCTTGTGAGCTACAACCTTTCTCTTGCCATGATTTGACAAATGACATATACTCACAAACTGCCAAAACTGTGTATAGCCACCTTAAGAAGAAAGTTTTTGTAACGGAGTGCGTTTAAGGACTGTTGAGACGAAACATCATTGATACTTCAAAAGTGCTACAACTTCAATCATTGGCGTAGCCAGCGCATAGACCTGATGGCCTGGGACTACAAATTTTTGCTTTGACCAATCTACTGTTTGTAATAAATTATGCGTTGTTGGGGTAAAAAAAAAAAAACTTATATTAAGAGCCAAAAGTGTTGGTGAGGTCACTACGTACTAGCCATGCGTACAAATTTCAGGATAGGTGGAAATGAAAGCCAGCCAAGCCTACAATTAGTCGAAAAGCTGGCTACACCTCTGCAAACCATGTACGGTGGATCACATTGTAGTCCCGCATGCAAACCTCGAACGCCTAGCTAGAACATGCGATAAGGGCAGCCCATGATCTTTTTATCCATCGCATACTTGAAACGCGAGAGAAAAATTACCTATTGCATTCATCATTTCATGCACGAAGGGAAAGGGAAATTGTACAGGACAGCTGATAGGTGAACAGTGTAATTCCCCTTTAATTCAGTCAACCCTCCATGCTCCTCTCAGGCAAAGTAAGTTATTTGCACCTTTTTTGTGTAATTATTTTAAGCAGTTTTGTGCCTTAATCCTGCTAAGAAAAGAACTGATTTAAAAAGAAGAAAAAAAAGAGAAAGAAAACATAGCTCACCTCTGGGTTCCTCTTTTTGATAACTTACCCGTCGCTGTTTCCAGATCGAATGTAGTTACCCCCATGCACTGCCCTGTTGTGGTATTAAAATCGGATGCATGTTTTACTGTGGAATTCCTGAATCGCTTTGTACACATTAGACTCGACATGGCCTGTGTGTTAAGAAAGAAATTAAGTCTGAGTTTCGCGCAAACTGATTGGCGCCACTTTTAAAGCGAAGCAATGTTGTTAGCCTAGGAAGCTACGATCTTGTGGAACGACAATTATAACACAACTTGCGGAGTTTATTAGGGTACAAGGTCAAGCTAAAAGCATTTTGGGGAGTCATCAGGTAAGCAAAGGGATTTTCATGGTTGTTTGTGTCCAGGATCCGGAGGGCCGTGAGCAAAACAATAACACGAACGCAATAGCAGAGGGGTAGGAGGACTAGCAGTCAGATGACATGCAACGAGATAAGAAAGAAGCAGAGTGGAAGATTGGCTAAAGCACTTACCTCCTGGCTACCGGACAACCATCTGCAATGGTTTTCGGGGTGAATTTCATAAACCTTTTACAAGTGTAATTTACAAGTGTAGCTATTGTTTTAGAGTCTGAAAACAATAGCTTCACTTGTAAATTGCGCTTGTTAAAGTTTAAAAAAAAATTAATCCCTGACCTCAGTTGTTCAAATGGTGGATAACGCTATCCACTGGACTCGATTTTTCGTATCTCCCCTGGCTACTTTTCAATTATTGGAC